ATAAAAATACTCTCTGTGGTAGCAGCACAGATGAGATATCATGGTGGGTGATCACTTCAGCCCTCTCACCCCTCTTGGAGTGGGGTGCTCATGTGGACAAGCACACTGCTAAGGGTACTTGGACCTCACAAGAGGCCGGATTACATATAAACGTCCTGGAACTGAGGGTGGCCTGCCTTGTGTTCAAGGCCTTCCTTCCGTTCATTCGCTTGCTCCATGCAGATAATGATGGACAATATCACCACCCTGGTCTATATAAACAAACAGGGAGGAGCGAGATCTTGTCCCCTCTGCCTGGAGGCCATCAGACTCTGAAACTGGTGCATCAGCAGCCACATCGCGATACAGGCTGTTTACCTTCCTGGTGTTCACAACTCCCTTGTACGCAGACTAAGCAAACGCTTTTTAGCTGACCTCGAGTTGGAGGTCCATGATGTGGTCCTAAGTGAAATATTTACACAATGGGATACACCACTGAGACTTTGTGTCCCAAACAAAAAGTTTCCCCTGTATTGTTCCAGAGGAGCCATGGGTCACAGCTCCCAGGGTGATGCTCTTCTGCTGTCTGGGATGAGTGACCTTAGATATGCCTTTCATTCCATTCTTCTGCTTCCACAGATCATAGGGAAGATATGTCGCAACAAAGTCTAAATCATTCTCTTAGCATGCTACTGGCCCAGACATTCATGGAACTTCTAAGGATGTCTTCCCACCAGGGGAGTAAAGTAACTTAAATCTCTTACCGGTATGCAGGGCTGCCGGACCCCTGGGGGGCAAGATGCAGGAGGCCTGACTCTGGGCCCCGAAAGGGGCAGGGCCAGCGGCGCTAGAACAATTTTTAGGGTGGGTGTGCTGAGCTGCACCCCACCCCCCGCTCCTGTCCATGCCCCTCACCGCCCCAGGTTCGGACCACAGCTGGGGGTGGCTGCAGAGCCCCATGGCCAGGACCCCGGGCAGCAGCAGGGCCCCCTGCAGACTGGCAGATAGGACCCTGGCACGGGGCCATGCTCATCGCAAAGCCTGGGGGTGCTGCAGCACCCCCCCACACCCCTACTTTTCCCATGCCTATGGGCAGGCCTGGGGGCCAGCCTGCCCCAGCCAGCCCTTTAGCGCTGCCCAGCCTGCACCACCCGGGGCTCTATTGGTGATTCAAAGGGCCCGAGGCTCCAGCCGCCGACGCCCTACTTTTTAAATCGCCGGGCCCCTGGGCAGCTGCCCCTTTCCCTGCCACGCCCCTATCAGCAGCCCTGCTAGTACAGTCCTTAAAGCGCTGCCATGGCAACACTTTAACGTCAGCTGTGTACCAGTGGCTACTTTCTTACTGCTACACCGTACCGGCCCACTTTCACCTCTGCTTCCCATCCCCCCTGTCATAAATATCAAGGGAAGGGTAACCACCTTTCTGTATACAGTGCTATAAAATCCCTCCTGGCCAGAGGCAACATCTTGTTACCTGTAAAGGGTTAAGAAGCTCAGCTAACCTGGCTGGCACCTGACCCAAAGGACGAATAAGGGGACAAGATACTTTCAAATCTTGGGGGGAGGGGGGGGAGGCTTTTGTTTGTGCTCTTTGTTTACGTGGTTGTAGTCTCTTGGGACTGAGAGAGGCCAGACAGAAATCCATCTTCTCCAGCCCATCCTAATCCAAGTCTCCAATATTGCAACCAGTATAGGTAAGCCAGGCAGGGCGGATTAGTTTATCTTTTGTTTTATGTGAATCTTCCCTGTGTTAAGAGGGAGGTTTATTCCTGTTTTCTGTAACTTTAAGGTTTTGCCCAGAGGGGGATTCTCTGTGTTTTGAATCTGAATACCCTGTAAAGTGTTTTCCATCCTGATTTTACAGAGGTGATTCTTTTACTTTTTCTTTAATTAAAATTATTCTTTTAAGAATCTGATTGATTTTTCATTGTTCTTAAGATCCAAGGGTGTGGGTCTGTGTTCACCTGTACAAATTGGTGAGGGTTATTATCAAGCCTTCCCCAGGAAAGGGGGTGTAGGCCTTGAAGGGATATTTTGGGGGAAGACGTCTCCAAGAGGTCTCTTTCCCTGTTCTTTGTTTAAAATGCTTGGTGGTGGCAGCATACTGTTCAAGGCCAAGGCAAAGTTTGTACCGTGGGAAGTTTTTAACCTAAGCTGGTAAGAATAAGCTTAGGGGGTCTTTCATGCAGGTCCCCACATCTGTACCCTAGATTCAGAGTGGGGAAGGACCCCTGACGCCCCCCAGTCAGGATCTACCCATTCCCAAACCTTTTAATCTAGGAGCAGGAGAAATCAAGCACCACAATCTGGGCTCACTTTACCTCATGGCCCACTTTACTCATCCAGCTACTGTACAGTTTATGAAAGGCCTTACGAGGCTCCTCCCACCAGTGATCAAACGTACATCTCAATGGGACCTTAATCTCATCCTGTTGATGCTCACAGGTCCACCTTTTGAATCTATGGCAACAAGTTCCATGACCTACTTGTCCATAAAGGTGGTGTTCTTAGTGTCTATTGCTTCGGCCAGGAAGGTCAGCAAGCTTAGAACCATTATGGCAGACCCTCTGTAAACAGTTTTTCGCAAAGAAAAGGTGTATCTTCGACTACACCTCAAGTTCCTCCCCACGATTGTTTCTAAGCTCCACATCAATCAAAGTATACGCTTAGCTGTATTTTTCCCGAAACCCCACACTTCCACGGAAGACAAGAGACTTCACTCCCTCAATGTTTGGCATGCCCTGGTGTTCTACCTGCAAAGAACCAAACCCATTAGAAAATCACTGAGACTTTTTATTGCAACAGCGATAGAGTGAGAGAGAGAGATCTCACGATCAAGCCATGTCCTCCCAGAGGATTTCTAAGTGGCTCTTGGGATGCATCCTTGAGTACTATAAGTAGCAAAAATCTCTCCCCTGGGCATGGTGGAGTCACAGCTCACTCCATGTAAGTACAAGCTGCTTCCATGGCATCCCTATATGATGTTCTGCTGCAGAACATGTGCAAGGCAGACACCTGGAGTTCTATCCACACATTCCTGACACACTATGGTTTAGTTGGCTATTGATGTAGTAGTGGGCTCTGCAGTGTCATAGATATCTTTGTTACCAACTTCCTCACACCCACCTCCAATCTGAGCACTGCTTGCCAATCTCCCACGTGTGGAATACATGTCACTCAAAGAAGAAATGGAGGTTACTTACTATAACTAAATTCTTTGAAATGTGTGGTCTTATTCTACTATACCTGTCCTCCTTCCCCTCTGCTTTGGATCCTGTGGGATTGCGGTAAGAGAAGGAATCAGAGAGGTTTCAACCCGTACTGACTCTCATACCCTTGGTCAGGGCACAAGTTGATTTATGGTGCATGTGCAGGCCAACAGACACATGGTGCCTACTGCATATGTGTACCCATGTGTGGAATACAAAGAGGGACAGCACATCTCGAAGAACCAGTAAGTAACCTCCATATATTGGCAGCCTCTAAAAGTACACAGCCAAATTCTTCCCACAGATATGCACCCATGGTTTCAAATAACTTCAATCCATATGGTGTATTTCACAGATGTTAATGCTTCAATATTTGGCTCTTTGGACCTTAGAGTTGCCTGAATTTAGTTTGGTGCCGAGGGACCACAGCTTTTGGCTACAATTAGCATTGTGGGCACTCGGCAACTCTCCGGGTCAGGCCTTTAATGAAGTTAAAAATGTAGTTACTATATTTATGCAGATGCCAGGTCCATTGAAGGGTACATCCTGCAGTACTTTGAGGGAGCTTTTGTAAGACCCCGTTCATCATGAGGTATCTTGAACACACTGTAGCATCAAAAGTTGATCTACCTCCTTACAACTTGAGGGCAGTGAACTTTCCAGTTAAAATAATACCTACTTCTTATAGAGCACTTTTCATCAGTAGATCTCAAAGCACTTAACAAAGGATGTGTAACAGGCATAGCGCTCTGCTCCTGTCTTCTCCTACAATTGGCTCTAACACCTCTGGTTTGTAAACACCAACATTGTTTGTGTTATCTCATCTACCACCCCTTCACAGTCCTGTGCAGCAACTCTGTTTACAGTGATATGCAAACATTTTGCCAGAGAAAAGAGAACTCCCTTTATCCTTGCCTTGTTAGCCTCTCCCACGCTCTCTCATTCCTTTTTCTTGCACTTCCTTCCTGGGCACCTTTCAACTCTTCCAGTTAATGGGTTAACTAGCTCTTTGGCTCCCCCAGCTCATACTTATCTAGTAATTAGCTCCAGCTTCCCTCAGTCAGGCCCTTCTCTGGGAAAACTAATTTGACTTGCAGTGACCATAGTGCTGGTTCAGAGCACTCTGTTGCAGGAGGCCAGTATCATTATCCCCATTTTACAGATGGGGAAACTGAGGCACATAGCTGACTTGCCTAGGGTCACCCAGCAGGCTAGTGACAGAGCAAGGAAATAGAACCAAGGTCTCTTGAATCTTAGCCCAGTTCTATATATACTCAGCCACACTGATGCTCCTGTTTTCACTTGCACTGCTATCTGTCTCCATTCTTTAAGGAGATAAAGGTTCATGACCATAAAAAGCAATATTCAAATAAGATCACATCAGTGAGTGAAAAATTATCTGTTTTTCGAAATATATATGAAAATTAACCAAAGTGTTAAGGAAAAGAAAATGAGCTAGTAGAAAAATGTTCTTATCAAATTAGACACCATTACAGGGGGCATAAATATTGAACTGGTTTTATAAACTAGCCAAGTGGATTTGCTTTCTAAATGTTTTAAGGTTCATATGCAAGTTACAGCTGAACTATTCTGACATGCCTGTGGAAATGCTGTTAACAAGCTACTGTCCTTTATGCCTGAAAAGTATTCTTGGAATTTCTGAGGCTAAAAGACCATGCTGTGATACAATATCAGTAAGGTGGCAAATCTGAGAAATAGGCTTTGCTTGGAAACTCACAAAGGATGTATTTACCCTCTATTTTAGGAAATGATGTATTTCACTTCTTGTGTATCTTATTTTTATGTTTTCAGGACTCCTCCTCAATTGGAACAGCTACAGTGGCTGGACCCAGAACAAGTGCAATAATTGGAGATCAGGGGACACAGACAAAGGTCCAGCTCCCCCTCAATATGTAAGCGGCCAGTTCATCTTAATCACACTCAGGCATTTTGCAAATCACTTGTGGTTTTGATTTTGTTTTTTATTTGAAAGAGTAGTTCTCATAGCAGTAGCTCTTTGAATACAGTTATCTCAATCTCAAACCTTCTGCTGAACAGTGAAAGGCCAGGTCACCTTTCTTTACATAGTCCTTTTTTTAGCTTCCAGAATATTTATTACAGCTATATGAATCTATCTGCTAGAGAAAGCCTGCTCCCTTAAATTAAAGGCTTTAGGAAGGCACACTCCCATACATTGGAACAACTGAGTCAATCATCGTTCAGATGAACTGTGTTTAACCATAAAAACGGTCCAATCACATTCTTCAGTACAATAACCAAAGACATCAAATGGAACATTTTAAGTGCAAGAGTATCTTGAGTGTATAAATACTAGGTGGAAGAACAGTAGGTTGATTAGGTAGGGTATAAGAGCAATAGAATCCAGTATAATAATTCTCTTCTAGACCAGTGAATATGTCGGGTACCTATGTCATTAAACTACTGAACCCTTTCTTCTAATAAAATATATGAAAACCCAACTGAACCTAAACATACATATGTTTGTGTGTATAATATCCTAAAACAGTAGCTGAAATTCAGACACACACATACATGTAAAATGAGATGTCAGATCTGCTTTAAATGGAATAGGAAATTCAAAACCATGAAAACTAGCCCTTAGTAAACCCATTCTGCCACAATTCGGTACTAAAGTTTAGAGGATACAAAACATCATTCATTGTTCTGAGATTCTGATGAGAGAATTGTATCATTACTCTGCAGCCACTCTGTGGAGCCTGTGTGATATTAATGTGATGGGGCAAATCCTCCTCCTACCTTTTCAGATGCTTAGGGTCCAGGTGGAGTTCTGCTCTGCAAGGGAAGATTCCTTTACATATTGATAAAATCAGTGCTCAAGTCCTTTAAAAAAAAAAAAAAGTTCCAGAACACATGATTTCAACAACAAGAATACCTTAGGACAGGTCAAATCACTGGCTGGAGGTGCCAGCTTACAGTTACCAGTAGTACCAGAATTGTAGTTAGAGGCTGGCTCATGCTCTGAAGCATGAGAATTTATATCCCTTCTAAACACTGTTTGTTTTTTAAAAAACCCTTACGAATGTAACTCCAGACATTCTTGCTGTCTATGTGTATGTGTAATCCTTTTATGAATCCTGCCAGCTTTTGGCATCAGTGCCAAACAAAGTACAGGAACAGCTTTCCGGAGCATTCCAGCATGACTCACGTGCAGGATAAAAAGGGTAAGTAGGTCTAAGACAGTCTAATTTAGACTAAGTTGTACCACCACTTTACACATGACCTCTGAATTGGGTCCATAATATAAAGACCTAAACAAGTACTAATCAGAGATGAGTCATGCTTCTTGGTCCCAAGCTGTGCAGCCTCTGCACTCTCCATTGTATCCTAACAGAGCACTGTGTTGAGGGATGAGCACTGAGACATGTAGCCCTCTTTCATGTCAGGCAGATGCATTTCAGTGTTCTTCATTTCATATTGTGACAGACCCAGACCAGTAGGATACAGGAGTCTGGTAGAAGGCAAATATATTGGCCACTGGATGAACAGTTCCCTGAATGACCAGAGCAGGGGCTGCCCTAGAGCAATCAGGAACCTGCCAGAACCAATCAAGACACCTGGAGCCAATTAAGAACTTTCTAGATTCAATTATGGCAAGCAGGCTAATCAGGACACCTGGTTTAAAAAGGACCTCCCATCAGTTAGTGGGGCAGAGGGGGTTGCCAGGAGTAGGGAGTGAGAAGGTGTGCTGCTGGAGGAGTGAAGAGTTCAAGCGTGATCAGGGTTCAGGAGGAAGATCCTGCAGTGAGGATAAAGGTGCTGGGGGGAAGGCAATGGGGAAGTAGTCCAGGGAGTTGTAGCTGTCACACAGCTGATACAGGGAACATGTGGACAGCTGCTATCCACAGGGCCCTGGGCTGGAACCTGGTGTAGAGGGTGGGCCCGGGTTCCCCCTCCTCCCTCCCCCCAACTCTTGATCAGACACAAGAGGAGTTGAACTGGTCTGTGAGAAACACCAGAAGGGAAGGTCTAAATTGGAAAGGGATCTGCCCTGTCCCCAACCCACTAGGTGGGACACAGAGACTGCAGGGATTGTTCTCCGTTTTCCCCCATGCTGGCCAGTGATGAGGTTAGCTGAGTGGACGACAGGTTTGAGCCACTAGCAAGAGTGGCCAAACTGAGGGCTGCCGTGAATCTCTGAGGCAAGCAAATCCGCCAATAAGTGCAGGACCCACCGAGGCAGAGGAGGAACTTTGTCACAATATGCAGCCTCATGTTTTCTTTCAAGTGAGCACCAATAGAGCTGATCATTGCTACCTGATTATACAGACTGAACAAAAAATATGCAGAACGGTTTCTCCTGTCTGTTGACTAATGAAATATAAGTATATCACATGCACATGGTAAATGGAGCCAAGTACATCAACCTAAGCATGCCCAGAGGAGCTGTTATCAAATATTTTGTATTCTACTCATTACTGTTGTTTATTTACTGGCTGCAAAATAAAAATCTACTGGTAACATAAAGGAATAGAATAGGAAAAACTAATAGGATTTATTCTTCAATTATATTTGCTAAAAAGCAGAAGTAAAAAGCCAAGCATCATTTTTATTGGTTGCAGGTCTACAGTCACTGTGGTTATAGTTTTCATTATTTCTTTGTTTCTCTGCTACTAGGTATGCACTGAACCCCTTCTAACCTTTCCTCAATATGAGGGTATTCTGCTACATTTTGTAGGGTAAATGCAGTTTTCACAGCCTTCACCCATTTGTTCTAGTCCTTCTGTACTGCCTTCAAAACAACACTCAGGAATGAGCAATCATAAACAGGGATGATTGGAAATCTCCTTTTGTATTGGTGGCAAGGAGATAGTGTCAAAAAACTTGATTTTTATAAGATAGAAGGTGCTGCAGGGTGGTTGTTCTTGTTATTTTTTCCTTAACAGGCTTCCTAGCTATCCCCCAAAGTACAAGCAATCATTCTGAATTTTCAACAAGCATCTCCCCAAACATTGGAACTAATTTTAGCAGCTATAAGTTGTCGTATTTCATAGCATGAGTCTTGTCCCTGAAGTAATGAAGCAAGAACATAAGAGAGATGAAAGGAAAGATCATAAACAAAGGGAATAAATAAAAGTATAATTAAATATATAAAAAGTTATGGATATTGAGACCAAGATTAAGTTGTGCATATTGAGATAAAGACTAAGGTTATAAGCATACTGCATACAAAAAGCATACTGCAAACAAAGAACTCAACTCTGAGGCCTTGCTATGGAGAAACTCCCATTGATTTTAATGGGAGTGTTGCCTGAGTAAGAATGCCATGGTTTGGCCCTAAGACAGTTGTTAAAAGAGTATCATCATATCCACACACAGAGAAATGCAGGAATTCTCATATTGGACCAGGCCAGTGGTCTATCTAGTCCAGTATCCTGTTTCTGGCGAGGGTAATACAAGATGAAGAAACCCTATAGCAGGCATTTGTGAAATAATCTGCTCAAAAGAAAAGTTTCTTCCTGACCCCTATAGTTAGAGGCTGGATCATGCTCTGAAACATACGAATTTATATCCTCTCCAGACATTTGGCTTTTTAAAAATCCTTAATATTGTAACTTTGGACATTCTTGCTACCCATATGTATATCTAAGCCTTTTCTGAATCCTGCTAAAGCCTTAGCTTCAGTGCTACTTTGTGGCAGTGACTTCAGCTGGCTAATTGTGATTGTGTGAGAAAGTATTTCTGTGTCAGTTTTAAAGTTGCTACCTTTTAATAAAATAAACTATCCCCTTTGTTCTCATATTGTGAGCGAGGATGAATAGCAGTATTTGATCAACCAGCTCTGTGCCATTCATTATTATGTATACCTCAATTATGTCCCCTCTTTAGTCATTGTTTCTGAGCAGCATGTGTGTCACAGGGCTTTCCTGCACTGTTCGACTGAAATAAGAACCTGAACGTCACTTGTTTTGGCATCATCTATTTGCTCAGCATGTGTGTAACTTCTCCCTGCAGCTACTTAGCTCTGTATGCATATAAGCCTCAGAAGAATGATGAGCTGGAGCTGCGTAAAGGTGAAATGTATCGGGTCATTGAGAAGTGTCAGGATGGCTGGTTCAAGGGAACATCTCTGAGAACGGGAATGTCTGGAGTCTTTCCAGGCAACTACGTGACTCCTGTTTCCAGGTGAGGACCATTGGCCAGAGGTCATTAGGTAGCTCTGAATAGAAGCAGGGGTTCCTACTTCTAAAGAAAAATGAAAAATGGGGAGATCTAGTTTTAAATTACACTCTTCCCCAAAAGCATCTTTGGTATCTTGGTTTGTTGATTTTGATTTTAGAATCACTCACACTTTCAAAAGACATTATTAATTGTTTAAAATTACTACATTTACCGTTTATCTGGATTGCTTATCCCATTATTTTAAAGAACCTATGAGCTATGGAGTCCACATCCAAAAAAAGGAACTAAAGGAGTTTTTACAATAGAGATGAGAAAAATATGGAGAGATTGTAGTTTGTTTTTCAACACCTCATCATTTGTATTTTGGTTTTGTAAAACCAAAACTGCAGGGTCATTTAAATGGAGGTTCAATTTTATCAGAAACCCCCAAAGTTCAGAGGCGAAAGGAGAGTTTGATAAATTATTCTGTTTCAGCCATCTGTGTTTCAGAAATAGAACGAAGTGAGAAGAAACACAGTTTTGGATTTTGCAAAGTTTCATTGGTCAGAGTTTTGTTTGGCAAAACCAAAACAAAGGTTGTTTCTGACAGCATTTTATAGAAAACTAAAGACAAGCATAAATTGTAAAGAGAAACATAAATAAATGAAGGGTGTCAAACCAAAACCAAACCAGAGAACCATTTCAAACTGGTATTGTTTCAGTTCAGTTCTGGTTCAAGTATAATTTTATCCTACTTACTTAACCTGAATTGGAACTGAACTAAAAAAAAAATTGGGCTACTGGGTTAAAGGTTCTGCATTTTTAAGCTCAATATTCTAAAAAAACTACTGTGACCATATTTTCATTATAAAACAAGACAACAAAATAAATAGACATGTGACTGGTACTAGAAAGTATACAGTAGAACCTCAGACCAGTCAGTGGTGGATTAGCCACTGGGCCAACGGGGCCCGTGCCCAGGGGCCTCGGCCAATTGGGGGGCCCCTGGAAAAATGGGCATGCCCCGACTTGCTCTGCCCGCCCACAGCAAGCCCCCGCGCTCTGACCCCGCTCCCCAGCAGGAGCACTGGGTGGGCAGGGGAAGTCCCCATGCCCTGATCTAGCTCCCCGGCAGAAGCGCTGGGGGGATGGAGGGAACTGCAGGCAGAAATGGGGGGAGGGACCCCCACTTGCTCTGACCCAGGGTCCCGCAAACCTGTAATCTCCCTCTGCCTCAGAGTTACAAACACCTCGGAAATGGAGGTTATTCGTAACTTTGAAATGTTCAAAATTCTGAACAAAACATCATCGTGGTTCTTTCAAAAGTTTACAGCTGAATAGTGACTTAATACAGCTTTGAAACTTTACTATGCAGAAGAAAAATACTGTTTTCCCTTTATTTTTTTAGTAGTTTACGTTTAACACAGTACTGTACTGTGTTTGCTTTTTTTTTTTTTTTTCTGTCTCTGCTGCAGTCGGATTGTGTACTTCCAGTTCCAAACGAGGTGTGTGGTTGACTGGTCAGTTTATAATGCTGGTGTTTGTAATTCTGAGGTTCTACTGTAATGAGAAAAGAATGACATGAGAATGAGAACAGAAGGAGGCCATCCCACAAGAGTAGGAAGGGAGAGAGGAAGTTTAGGAGCAGCCTGCATACCACATGAGGCAGCAGGGGGCCCCAGAGGCAGATCTCTGAGACTGCCCCTGGGGAGGAAAGAGGTAGAATCCTCCCTGGTCCCAGAAGTTAACAATAACTCTTCAAACCCAAGGGAAAAGGTAGTGGCTCCCCAACCCTTTCGCCCCTTACGCAGGCCTCCTCTGACCCATCTCCAGTATCTGGGGCATTTCCTCCCGCCAGTTGCCCCACTTGAGGCAGGGCCCAGGCTCCAAACTCAAATTTATCCTTTCACCGCAGAAGTCCAATATGACACAGCAAATATTAGAAGATCTTATTTTAGTTTGCTCAAACAAATTGTTCATAAAAAAAATTGTTTATTTGACAACATAAAAGCACTAGGAAAATGAATGTAAAGTTGAAGTTAAAGTTAAAGATAAATGGTAAAAAATCAAAATAGTTTCAATTTTAAGTTTCAACTCTCTTTTTTGAATTTACTTCCAGTAAGATTGATATTTGATTCAAATTGGTTCAAACCGATAACTGAATCATTGTTTGGGTTTTTTGTGATGGCTTGAACCAGAACTGAACCCAACACACTGACTGCAATTGAATCGGAACCTGAACCAAAACAAAATAAATATCGGTTAGACTCTCTGAATAACTGTAACATTGTTTTCACTTTGCCCCACCTGTAGTCTGGCTGACGGTCTAAGGTTGCATTTCAGGGCCAAAAGAATTAACGTTGTAGCTTTGTAATTCCTGAATTATTCATTAATCTAAATTTCTTTACCTGATTTTTATACACCAACTTGGCTGCCTGTGGTACTTGACTCTTTAGCTCTTAACAAGTAAAAGGTTCGTGCTGTGGTACTGGTGATCCAGATCAGCAAGACTTTGCTAAATGCAGCATGTCATAGCTAGAATAAGAAACTGAAAAGCGCTAAAAGGCAAAAATGCTTTCTGCACCACATGAGTTGTATCATTCATTTTATGATCCATTAGAAATGAACGTGTAATTAAAACAGTCTGTTCACATATGCAGTACCTTAAGTGAAAACAGCAAGAAAAATACTATAATAAACAAACTCTCCCATTTGTCACAGTCTTTGATTTACCCGTTTTCCTTTCCTCCAACCAGCAAAACAAAGGAGTGTGCTGGGGGGGCGGGGTGGAGGGCTGTGCACGGCCAGTTGGGGACAGGGACAGGGTACCCAGGAAATGTACTAATTTCAAGTATCTCTCAGGCTCCCTCTGCTGGCGGGTTCCTATTGATTCCCCAGCAGTGTTATTAAACCTGCAGGGGTGCATCTCTGCTTGTGAGCAGAGGGACGTGTATGTTGCTATATTGGTGAATCAAGCCTATTGCAGGTGATTTACCCAGCTCTCTCTGAATCTCATTTCCTACTTGTCCACTTTGCACAATGTCATTGAGGGTGACACATAGCAACCAAAGGTGGCAAGGACCCTAGACAGCCTGTCACCTCTTCCCTGTCTGGAAGTGGTGGGGGAAATGTTCAAGATTTTCCAGTTTTAAAAAAACCTAGTTACACCACCATGAGGATGGATTCAAAACAACATAAATTGGCAAACTTTACACAAAGTGAAAAAATGTAGGAATCTGTTTCTATTATTTTTCTTCGTTCTCTTGTTTATCTTCCTGTCTTCACATGTTTTGACTGTAGCTTCTTGCATCCTCTCATTTAGTGTGTGTGTCCATGCTTTCCCTCAGCCTCATTCCTTTTTAATTGTTTTCCCCCTTCACTCTCTTTCTTTAGGACTTAATATTTTCTTCTGTGGTTTGGCCTTTCACTCTGTTTAATTTGTATGTTCAATGTTTCCCCTCCCTCTCCTCCTTTCTCCTCTCTCTGTCCTATTACACTTAAGCTATTTCTCTCTCTAAAGTCCACTCACCGATCCAGCCTCCTACAGCCTGGTCTTCCCTCCCCTCCATTATCTCCTCTCCCTTGGTCTTGTTCCCTGCAATCTCTCCCCTCCATTTTCTCCAGCCCTATTAGTTCTCTCCCCACCCTCCCGTGTCATGTCCTCATGTTCTGCCCATAACCCTCTTCTCTCTCCTCCTCTTGTGGATCTCAGTGCAGTGAGGTGGACAAAGGAAGGCAATGAGAACAGAATAGCACCAAAGCCATTTGCCCTTGGCCAGGTCAGAAGTGGAAAGCCAGAATCGGTCAGTGCGGGCAGCTGCTCTGGCTGGTACCATGAAGCAGACAGCCTCGTCATTCCCTCACCTGCTGTTGGTGCCCGGGGCTGTGGCTGCCGCTCCTCAGCTCACGCAGCTAGTAAGAGCCCCCGTGGCAGGGGGACCCAGCTCTGTGGCCGGCAGAGCCATTGGGGAGCAGTGACCATAGGGGAGCCCTCCTGGTGCACAGCAACTAGCTACTCCTCTCCCTGCATCCTGAGCTACCCCGCCCCCTGCCTGCACACAGATCATAGCTACCCCTTGCCTGCACCCTGAGCTACCCCCCTGCCTGCTCACTAGCTAACCCCTCCCTGCACCCTAGCTACTCCCCCGCACACAACCCCTAGCTACACCCCCTCCCTGCACCCTGAGCGACCCCCCCCTGCCCTCACACAGCCCCTAGCAACCCCCTCCCTCCACCCTGCATTACCCTCCCTCCCGCATACAGCCCCTAGCTACCCCCTCTCTGTACCCTGAGTGGTTTTCAAACTTTTGGTGCTGAACCCCCACCACACACAGCCCAGACAGGCTGGGTGGCCTGCTGAGGTAAGTCAGAGGGCGGAGGTGGTGCTGCCTCCCTGGACCCTGCCATGCGGGGCCCAATCCCTGCTGGCCCCAGGATAGAAGTCAAAGTATGCCTGTGCCCGAGGGCCCACCCCTGGTGAAGACCTTGGTCAGCAGGGCAACAGGGCTCTGATGAGCTGGCTGCATGAAGAAATAGTCTTGGCCCTGCATCCTCCTCTCTGCTTGCCCAGACAACGTGGATAATCAAAGGGTTTCCAGGGCCAAGCAGGTACGAGAAGGGACATGTGTACAATGCGGGTGAGCTGTTAGGGCTGGGTTTTGTAGGGGGATTCGTTGTTTGCTTGTAAACAGATCTCCCTTCCAGTAAGGTCAGTTGAGCTCACCTAGCTCTGGGCTCACTTATCATGCTTCTGAATTAGAACTGGGTGAATGGTTCATGTGAAAATTCAAAGCCAACCAAACCAGCTGTTATTGAGGCTCCCAGTCCAAACCTGATCATCATCATTCTGATTCTACAGGCAGACTGTAGGGATTTGGTGCTGCCCATCTTTTTTTCCATATAAATTTGCATGGAGCTCAGGCCCTACATTAATATCTTCACGGCTCATTTTAATTATTTTTCCATTGCCAGTTGCAAAAATAGCCTTGCTGTGCAAAACAGCATTTTGGCGACGTCCGTTTCTTCTGGATTTACTTGGTAATATGTAGGTGCCTATTAGAATAAATTAAAGCAGGAATTCTGGATTTCAAACAAGTTAATGGAGGGAAAAAAGGTGATCTTTCTGTTCCTATAACATTTGTATCTTGTGCTGAACATTCAAACTTGAGAGATTCCCCCGTGTGGGGAGCAGTGGAGAAGGTGCAGAATTCCACCAAAATACATATTGTTCTGGGAAACATAAACAAAATATAATACTTAACCTTAAACTTCATTTTATTTTACTACCTTAATTTGTATCATGTCCCACTTCAGGGGACTTCTGGTAGCTTATGGCAATCACTGCAGTAGATGAGTAACTATGTCGTAACAGAGTTTTCACATTACACTTCCTTTCTCTTTAGAGTGCCTGTAGGAGGTGGCCAGCCCAGGAATAGCTTAGCGGGTGGGGCTCAGACAATAAAAGGATCCCCAGGAGCTGTTCACCCAGGAGCTGTTCACCCAGGAGGTGCAAGTCTTACAAATACGGCCACTGCTGTCAGACCTGTTGTTCCAATCACTGCACCTCAGACACATCTCCAACAACAGACAGTGTCTCCTCAGATGAATAACTGCATGAGGTATTCAGCCCAGCAAATGGTCAGCCAGACTCGCAGTGCCATGCAGATGGGTATGTATAGGCTCCCTAACGCCTCTTGCCTTACCTTCTCAGAATTTGACATTGTATCCCTCATGAACAAGCCACTGGAATCCTATTGTACCTTCAGGTTTCCTTTGCAAGTCTTCCATTTTAGTCAAAGTTCAGCCATCTGTAATAGGATATGTTTTATTGCTTGTAATATTTACAGACTTCTATTGATCTCTGGGAAATATGCTGTGTTTATCAGATTGTGCTGTTGTCACAGCTGAAATAGATTACAGTGGTTACAAATATTTACATAATTTATTTTAGAGAATAAAGCATCCTGCATACTAAGAAGATTAACGTTTCTAAGTCCAGTTGGCTTACTGACAAAAAAAATACTGCACTTATCACAAAGGAAGTAATATGTGACTTAAAATTAAGGAACTGGGCTTCAAGGATGAAAGTTCTATGTTAGGCAGAAGAGGACTCAGCACTGGTGGCAAAGGAAGATATCCAAAAAATAGTGCCACCTCTTTGAAATGTGAATAAGAGGTTGGCACAGCAGGGGGCCATTGTTGTTCCTAGTTTTCCTTTTTGATGCAAAGCATGGGTTTTCCAGAGCAGAATTTATGCTGCTTTCCTGATGTTAAATAGTTGCAATGTTGAGTGAATTAAAAGTAAATTACATGGTAGATTTTTGTGGCAAAATGTAAAGCTGTTTTGTTTTTAATATTTTATGGTGACTTGAGCCCTTGTGTTTAAAGACTGAGCTAGAGAAGTACTGGGAATGCTGGCAACTGAAGATTTTAGATTCGGAACAGACTAGACAAGGTATGCTACAATATAAAGCATAGATGCTCAGATTAAGGCTAGAAGGAACCATTACGGTCATCTAGTCTGACCTCCTTTTAATACAGGCCAAGTGGAAAAGTAATCAAATACCCATGAATCTAAATCTTATTTTATTGAAAAGCAGCATGCACTCTATTTCTTTGGTTGTTACGCATAGTGGCATATCTTTACATGCATAGAAGTCACTCTACAATGTAATCTAATTATCATAATTAATTTTTTTGTAGTTCAGAGAGAAGATTCATAGATTCCAAGGCCAAAAGGAACCACTGTGATCATCTAGTCTGACCTCCTGTATAACACAGGCCATAGAACTTCCCCTAAATAATTCTTAAAGTGTATCTTTTAGAAAAACATCCCATCTTGATTGGAAAATTGCCAGTGATGGAGAATCAACCACAATCCTTTGTAAATTGTTCTAAATTACTCTCACTACTAAAAATATACTCCTTATTTCCAGTCTGAATTTGTCTAGCTTCAACTTCCATCCATTGGATCATGTTGTACCTTTCTCTGCCAGATTAAAGAGCCCATTATTGAATATTCATTCCCTGTGTAGGTTTCAGAGTAACAGCCGTGTTAGTCTGTATTCGCAAAAAGAAAAGGAGTACTTGTGGCACCTTAGAGACTAACCAATTTATTTGAGCATAAGCTTTCGTGAGCTACAGCTCACTTCATCGGATGCATACTGTGGAAACTGCAGAAGACATTATATACACAAACACCCTGAAACAATACCTCCTCCCACCCCACTCTCCTGCTGGTAATAGCTTATCTAAAGTGATCACTCTCCTTACAATGTGTATGATAATCAAGTTGGGCCATTTCCAGCACAAATCCAGGTTTTCTCACCCTCCGCCCCCCCCCCCCACACACACACACACAGACTCACTCTCCTGCTGGTAATAGCCCATCCAAAGTGACCACTCTCTTTACAATGTGTATGATAATCAAGGTGGGCCATTTCCAGCACAAATCCAGGTTTTCTCACCCCCCACCCCTTTTTTTCCAAAAACCACACACACAAACTCACTCTCCTGCTGGTAATAGCTTATCCAAAGTGACCACTCTCCTTACTTACTTAGTAAGGAGTTACTAAGTGTAGTTACTTAGACTGTAAAGAAGTCACTCCTTGACCTTCTCTTTGTTAAACTAAGTAGATTGAGCTCTTTGAGTCTGTCACCATAAGGCATGTTTTGTAATCCTTTAACCATTCTTGTGGCTCTTCTCTGAACCCTCTCCAATTTATCAACATCATTCTTGAATTGTGGACAGCCAAAATGGGACACTGTATTCTAGCAATGGTCGCACCATTGCCAAATACTTCGACTCGAGATTCCCTGTTTGTGCTTTTGGACACAGCATCACATGGGGAGTTCATGTTCAGCTGATCATCCACTGTGACCCCCAAGTCTTTTTCACAGTCATTGCTTCCCAGGATAGAGGCCCCCATTGTGCAAATATAGCCTACATTCTTTGTTCCTACATGTATACGCTGACATTTGGCCATATTAAAATACATACTGTTTCCTTAAGCCAAGCTTACCAAGCAATTCAAATTGCTCTGTGTTAGTGACCCGGCCTCTTCATTATTTACTATTCTGACAATTTTTGTGCCATCTGCAAACTGTATCAGTGCTGACTTTGTTTCTTCCAGGTCATTAATAAAAATGTTAAATAATGTAGGGCCAAGAACTGATCCCCATTAGAAATGCACCTCTGATTCCCTGTTTACATTTACATTTTGAGTCTTATCAGTTAGCCAGCTTTTAATCCATACAGTATGTGCCATGTTAATTTTATATCTTCTAGTTTGTTAATCAAAATGTCATGTGGTACCAAGTCAAATGCCTCACTGAAGTCTAGGTATAGTACATCAACACTACAACTTTGATAAAGGTAGTAATCTCATAAAATATATATTGAGTTAGTTTGACAGGATTTATTTTCCATAAACCCTTGGTGACTGGCATTAATTATATTATCCTCCTTTAATTCTTTATTAATCAAATCCTGTATCAGCTGCTCCATTATCTTGCCCAGGATTGATGTCAGACTGACAGCCTATAATTACCTGGGTAATCCTGTTTATCCTTGGCACAACATTAACTTTCTTCCAGTCTTTTGAACTTTTGTGGCGTTCCAAGACTTACTGAAAACCAGCATTAACAGTCCAGCAAGCTTCTCACCCAGCTCTTTTAAAACTCTTGGATGCAAGCTATCTGGACCTGCTGATTTAGAAATGTCTAACTTTAGTTGCTACAGTTTATCATCCTCCTAAGAAACTAGGAGAATAGAAAGTGTTGTTATATATGACTACATTGTGACAGGTTGGACCCTCACTTCTGGGATGTCAGTTGATGTTCTGGGGTCCCACTCATCCCTCCTGCCCTGCTAGCCTGGGTTTCCTTTGCACTGGGTTGCTGTGCCAGGCTCTCAAGCCCCCTTCCAGCACACACCGAGGCAAGACCACAGTCAGCTGCAGAAACAGACTGCAGTCAGATCTGTGTGATAGGATTCACCCAGCACTCACGTGCACACCCACTGTGGAGAGGTAAACCCCAGATAATATTGTGTTGCTCTGTATAGAAAGATCTGCACAGCACAAGCTGATAAAAATTCACCCTCTCCCTCAATGTGAAGAGAGATATGCACAGCTTCTTGCCCCCTCCCCCCCCCCAACCCCAGATATGGATTGCACAAACTGGGTTATGTTATAAACAAGAAATAAGTTTATTAACAATAAAAGGTACATTTTAAGTGATCATAAGGGATAACAAACAGAACAAAGCAGATTACTAAGCAAATAAAACAAAACACTCAAACTAAGCTTGATTCACAAAAGAAACAGGTTACAAAATGTAATTTCTCACCCTAAATGTTGAATTAGGCAGGATGCAGTTTCTAGCTCAGTGTTCCAGGGTTATTTCTGTTTACAGACTAGACTCCTCTGTCTCAGTCTGGATTCAGCCCTTGCCTTTCCCACAGCTCAGTTCCTTTGTCTCTTCAAGAAAAAAGAAAAGGAGTACTTGTGGCACCTTAGAGACTAACAAATTTATCTGAGCATAAGCTTTCGTGAGCTACAGCTCACTTCATCGGATGCATGCCACTGAATGCATCCGATGAAGTGAGCTGTAGCTCACAAAAGCTTATGCTCAAATAAATTTGTTAGTCTCTAAGGTGCCACAAGTACTCCTTTTCTTTTTGTGAATACAGACTAACACAGCTGCTACTCTGAAATTTGTCTCTTCAGGTACTTTTAGCAGACTTTCTTCTTGGGCAGGAAGGAAACGGAGAAGAGTCCTGTTTGCCTTACTCCCCAACCTTAAATAAGATTTACATAAGGCTGGAATCTTTTGTTTCCCAGTCTTGACTGCCCCCTCCTTTTGGTGGAAAATTACTAGAAGTCCAAGATTGTGTTTAGTACCAGGCAGCAGGACCACCTGACCTAGTAGTGTCACAGCTACGTCCCAGGACACCTCTCAGGAAGGAGAGAGATTTGTATCTTTAAAGTCTTATTGTTTCTTCCTAATGGCCCATCAAAGCTGATGGCCTGTTGTCTGGTGGGTGTCTCCCAAATACACACACAGTTGTAATTGTTACATAGCCAGTTTGCCTAACTTTAAATACAGAAATGATACATGCATACAAGCTGGATAATCACATTCAGTAAATCATAACCTTTCCAATGAAACCTTACAAGATGCATCTTGCATAAAATATGTAGTTAGGCCATATTCATATCATAGCCATATTTCTATGAAGAATATGGGGTGTAACATCACATACATTACCCGTTTTCCCCCCAAATACAGAACAGAGATATCTATTGAACGTGTCTTCCTTTTCTGTATTATTACTGATAATTTTACCATTACCATCTAGCAATGGCCAGTACCATTCTTATGATTATTTTATGATTATTTTTGTTCCTAATAGATTTAAACAATTTCTTCTTTCTTCTGTCTGTAAGTCTGCTGGCCATAGTGTTCTCCTTGTGTCCCTTTGCGTCCCTTATCAATGTTTTGTAAGTGCTTACTTCTTCCTCAGATGAACAGATCAGCAAGTTCTCCAGATTTTCTCTCCATCGCTTGTCTAGTCACCAGCAGCTGTTGTAGTTAGAGTACGCATGATTTGAAACATATTCATGGTTTGGGAAGGCTCAGGAGGCAGGAATGAAGTGCTTGTTGGAAAGTAGCATTAAATATGTCACTATGTCATGTATCTTGTAATAGTAACCAAGTTAGCATCAGTTTACACAGATCTGGCAGTATAATATATCTTTGGCTCTCTGGAACCTTTCAGGCAGCTCCTGTTGCTTCAAATGGCCATGCTGCCATAAAGAAGTATTCTCATGGAGCTAAGACAGGATGTCGTTGCAGGATAATTTTAGCCCAGGTAGATGCATTAGACCCTCCCTTTCCCATCTCTCAGCTAATCCTTGTAGCTACCTTCTGCCTTCAGAAGCTACCTGCCAGCATTCCCTGCGTTCTCCTTGTCCCATGTGGTTTTGAGACCACATCTCAATATCCTTCCAACATCTTGGCATGCAGAGTAGTCAGAGAGCAAAATAACTCAGGAAATATAGTTCTTCTGCCACTTCATTTTTTGTGCTTCTCATACTTTCCATGGGTATTTGAGGTTTATTTTGAAACCTCAGAAAAAACAACAACAATATATCATACACAATATGTAACTCACAGAGTAAAGGGGAAAATTAGCAGAATTTCCAACGTTGATTTAAGGAATACTCCAGTGCAATTTCGCTGTCGCCAATCCACAATGGCCATAATAGGCTGCTGTTCAGTAGCCCAAATCCTACAGAGCTCATCTGCATCTCGTCCCTGGAGAGTGAAGACACTTAATCCTATGTCTTAAAAAAAATGAAGGTACTTCCAATGAAAGAAAATTATATAATATTCAAGTCATGCTCTTGTTGGCTTACCTCATACGTGAATAACAAATCAATTTTTTCACAAATCCACTAATGTAGAAATATACAGAAAATGAAATATGAGCCGTCCAGAACAAAAACAGTCTTCAGTGAACATTGCTAAGTAATAGCATGATGGACACAGCACAATCCAAACCCACAGATGTTCAGAGCAAAGACAACAATAGACTGTCGAAGCCTTGCTTACAGCGGAGTCTTCTCCAACCATTTCTTTTGCTGTTTTTGGCACTGTCAGTTTCCTTCAAGCCTAGAAATGCTGGCGCCTGTATTAAATAATGCATGTCAGTATGACTATTGAATCAACCTTAAATCTAGAGGAGGGTAGCAGCATGCAATGAAGTTCCATCATTTGTATTCTTATCCCAGAGATCTATAGAAATACCATTTCACCTTGGAAACTAATCTGGCTGTAGCAATATTTTCAGACCTTGAACACTGGCCTTATGCTTGCAGAGGGCTTGCACATTACACAAAGCCCAAACAAGTGTGCTGCTTGATTAGCCTACCCACAAATACAATTTGTACATAAAGATTGGGAGGGGATGAGTTAGGTGGGAGTAAATCAATTTTACCCATTTCTAACTTGTATTTGGATATGGTCCATATATTTCATTACATGTTGTTAGGTGATCGAGGTAGGGAAGCCAGTAAAAAAGAAAATGACAACCTGGAGAAAATCTGAATTCGTGGACCCTTACTCTTCCCAGAGGACAAGGTTACAAAAAAATTCAAGACAAATAAGTGACAGTTTGGTGGATTGCTAAATTCGACATTGATTAAAAAAAAACTCTGTTAGATCGGGGAATAACTGGGAAAGAGAATCATACCAACATAGGAGTTGCTGTACTGGAATATATCAGGGGTCCATCTAGCACAGGTGTCCATCTAGTTGATTACCTTCCAAAGGTGGGTAATATCTGATGCTTCAAGAAGACGTTAAAAAAAATCTCAATAGGCATCCAGTGTTGTGTGTATAACATGGGAATAAGATTAGGGGTGGAATTGCTTCATGACCTCAGATGGTGATCAGTTTGTACACTGAGCATGGGGGTGATGCCCTTTGCCATTTTAAACCCTAGCAATGTAAGAGCAGGTGCTGTTCTGACAGATATGAATAGAAAATCCTTTTTAGAATTTTACTAGAATAATGCTGTTCAGTAATATCCCATGACAGAACTCCACAGATTGGTTTTAGTGCTGCATAAAAAGTATTCTTAAGAAAGGGGATTTTAAGAGAACTACCGAATTGTTTAAGTGTTGGGAATGCCTACTCTGGCATATTCTTCTCCACTGTACAAAGCAATGAACCCACCTGGAGATCAGAAAAGCCTTAGGCATGGAAATGAAACTGGAGCTCTGTGCTTTACTTTTTGACACATAGAATCATAGAATATCAGGGTAGGAACGGACCTCAGGAGGTCATCTAGTCCAACCCCCTGCTCAAAGCAGGACCAATCCCCAATTTTTGCCCCAGATCCCAAATGGCCCCCTCAAGGATTGAACTCACAACCCTGGGTTTAGCAGGCCAATGCTCAAACCACTGAGCTATCCGTCCCCCCTACATAAAGCATTCTGTAGTTTCCTGGATCCTTGGAGATCTGGCATTGATAGTCAGTGTGTTGTAGTTATTGTTATATAGATGAGCAGCAGTTCTCTGGTTCTTGGTGGTGATCTGCTGAGGTGAAGTGGAGTTCACCTATCTGGGGAAGGAATACTAAATGATTTTGCATAGTCCCTTTAGGACTTTCCTGGCAGAAACAAAGCTGATCTCAAACGTGCTTTAATGATTGGCACTACTTGACTTGTCTTGAACAGCATAGTAATTTGTTATTCTCTTTTTTAAAGTGCCGATGCGTGTTGTTAAGGCTAAAATATAGTACAGTTTTTGGTTTCTTTAAATCACATTTCAAAAATACAAGATCAGTTTTAATAATCTAAATTAGTCCCTGCTGATATAGGTTTAACAGTTGAGAGCTCCAGAAATGATCAAGAAGTTAACAGTAACTATTAGAGTGAAGTACGAATTTATTTTTAAAATGGAGTATATTTGTGTTTACTTTGAAAAGTAAATACCATGGACACTCAATGATTGTAGAAGTCAACAGTACACTCAGTGAGCTGTTTACAAGATGTGGTGGGAATTGTGGGTTTTAATTTTAAAACACTGTGTGTTTCATATGAGGGAAAGACTTTCAGGTAGAGCCACATAACTGATTTTTTGATTCACTGGCAGTTCTGAAAAATTGGAGAAAAAAATCTGTTTGACCTGAACCCCATATTTTTTGTTGGTAGTGGTGCTGTCTTCCATCCTCCCCACACACACTCTTATACCTGAAATCCCAGTGGCTAGGGCACTCGCCCGGGAGGTGGGAGACAGGAGACTTAAGTTTGAATCCCCATGCGGGAATGGGGCTACAGGCTATCCTAGAGTACGGTAGGTTTCTTTCACTCTCCCTTAACGCTGTTCCACTTTGTATAAAATACTTAAATTTTTATTGGGGCAAGGACCTGTCCCCATTCCCGGGTAAGTACTCTAACCATGGGCTATAAAGTCACTCTCATTCTCTGTCTGGGGGTCTAATGACCATTCAGGTATTTTATACAAAGTAGAACAGCTTCAGCAGGATAGACTGAGAGAAAACTACATCAGAATAGCCAATAGCCTGGTGGTTAGGACACTCACCTGTGTTCAAGGCCCTGCTCTAGAGTGGGAATGCGAACCAGTCTCCTATGTCCTAAGTGTGTGCCCTATGCATGGGGCTGTTGGGGTTCAAGGGAGGCTGGCAGCACCACAACTTGCTCATTTTTGTGCCCTTATGAATCTAGCCCAGAAAACCAAAAAGTGTCACTTTTATACATGTCAAAATGATTGATTTAGACATTACTGAAATCTTTTCTTTGACTGAAACAGTTGGCCAAAGTCGACACAAATTCACACAATGTTTTGGTTGACCTGAATCTGCATTTTTCAGCAAAAATAGGTTTGGATGAAAAATTTTGCCCCACTCTTCTTCCAATACAATACATTCTGATGTTAAGACAAACTTTTACCTCTCCTGTGAACAGTTTAACACTAGGGAGTAAAGTAAGTTTATCATAAAGTAAATAAAATTATCTGTTACTTTGACCTGTGTCTGTACTTACAAGCTGCATTCTTTGCTTTGTTTTCCCCCTGTTATTCTTCAGTAGCACACCCTTCTGCCCAGGTACCAGAGCGGCCCACGGCAACTGTCTCACCACTGAGAACCCAGAACTCTCCATCCCGTCTCCCAGCCACTGTGGTTAGATCACACTCCATGGCTTCTCCACAACACGTCCACCAGTCCCCTGTCCAAGTTATTCCTGGAGCACAGTGTGCCAGGCCCATCATTCCTCTCACTTCAGCAGCAGCCGCCATTACTCCTCCAAATGTCAGTGCGGCCAACTTGAACGGGGAGGCAGGAAATGGGCCAGTCAGCAGCTTGGTGACTTCCAGCCCAACCAACACCTCCTGCAAAGCAGAGGAGAGGAAAAATGAAAAGGTAATTGCCTTCTCTGGTGTAATTTAGCAGTGGGGGAAGCAGAGTGCCTTTTTGAAAATCTTGAATGATAGCTGACTTATTTTCTTCTTCTGTTTCCACCGAACATCCTTGCTAAAACCATATATTTTTGATTAATGCCTCTTGTGTGTGTGAGGAGAGATATGATACTTCCCCTGGTTAATCTGTCAAACTCGCATGTTTAACAAGCTTGCTCCATTTATAGACTAAGGTTTTTCCTAGCTCACTGTCATAGAAAAAGATATAGAAACAATCCTCTAAGTGTCAACGGTCCCCCATGCCAACATTTAAATAAGGGAAGCAAAGGACAAACATCAAGAGATGCTTTTGCTCACCAGGTTTTCTATGAGAGGCAGAAGCAGCATTTCATCATGTAACCACTGGGCATCCACATCTACAACTATTTTCATACTTTTTTAAGTCTGTTCATTGGTTATACTGTAGCATTATCCACTTGCACATGAGAAATGAGTTTTGCTGTTAATCTGTTACATTTCTACTTTCCGGCACTTGACATGGTCGGTGTCTGAATCTTACAGATTTGAAATAGCATAGAAACACATTATTGAAGAGACAGGCTTCACAACCAGGTGGCCAAGTCAGAAACTATCTGCCTAATTACATGGAAGAAGTTTTATGAGGTACAAGCCTTGGGTGCTGGTGATGGAAGCATAATAGAACACTGACATGTAAATGGTAGGAGCTGTTAACAGTTCTGTAAACATCTCCATTTCTTTCAGAAAATTGCATTGCCATGGTTCAGTGAAACAGAGAACTGGATTAAATATGACTCACTGCAGTATGTGATTGATACATTGTAGATTCAAGCTTCTAGGAATCAACATTGGAAACAATATTTCAATGTCTGCTCCTTAAACGTGTTGCTAATGAAAGCCAGGGCTTTAAACATTCTCAGCCTTTTAGACTCTTAACAAATATTTTGCTTTCACCCAGAGTTTACCCTTTGCAAACAGTTCCCATATATCAACTCTGAGAGTTGTTCACTGGACACCATAGCAGAGCCTACTGATAAACTCTGCCTGGAAGCAAGCTGTGGCTTGTGTTTGAACAGCATGAGAGGTGAGGAGTCTAGCTTTCTCCTGGATTTGCAGAATATATTTTTTTCTAAATTCACTAAGTCATTCCATAGTGACAGACATGCATGGGATAAACATTTACTGCATCCACAATAATGCTATGTTTGGAGATCTCCTGAGTGTGCTGAAGGAAACTTGGTAAATATGACGTGCTCAGGTTCACAGATAAATACTAGTTTCACAAAGATGAGGAATGTGAGTTTTAAAATCCCCTCTTAATCCTCTCTCTTGAGTATCTTCCTGGTGTCTTTCAATAAAGAGAAGAAGGGCATTGAATTCTTCCCTGGATGTGAAATTTAGGTATCTGTTTCCAAAGAATGAATTCCCAACTAACACTGAATGTTCCATGATACATGACTGGTATAATACTTTTTTACTTGCAACCCGAGTTACTACTTTTGTAAGGGAAAGAAAACCTACAGTATATTGGCAAATTTAGTGGAAGATCTATGTTGCCTCAGAAATGTGTTCCTCATCAGGACCTAATGTAGTGGGATTTTGGTATTTTTTTAAAAAGCTCAAAAAGGAATCCAAATGTCCATACATTTTTGTTGATACATTTCTAGTAAGATTCCACATTAAAACTACACAGGCCCAGTTATACTGTGTTGTTTTCTAAAATATTTGTAAATTCATCCAAACATATAAATCTTAAAGTTATTGACTTTGTCTGAGGGAAAATAAAAGCCATATGTTTCAGAGTAACAGCCGTGTTAGTCTGTATTCGCAAAAAGAAAAGGAGTACTTGTGGCACCTTAGAGACTAACCAATTTATTTGAGCACGAGCTTTCGTGAGCTACAGCTCACTTCATCGGATCCGATGAAGTGAGCTGTAGCTCACGAAAGCTCGTGCTCAAATAAATTGGTTAGTCTCTAAGGTGCCACAAGTACTCCTTTTCTAAAAGCCATATGGTTATTTGATCTTTACGTACAATAATCAATAAACTAACTATATATTTCAGAAATGCAAAGTATTCCTGAAAACTGATAGTCCTTGCAAAAAAGTGTGGAAGAGGAAGTGATTATTAAAATGGTAAATTGGAATCTTAGAGGCTTGTTCTTCTCCTTCTGAGGGAGAGACAGGCATATAACTGTCATGTGAATTGAGCAATAGACCCCAAACCTATTCATATTGCATTTCATTCTTATCTTATCTTATGCTCTTCTTAGAAGCAGTGATTGAAGCTTGTCCAGTCCAAACTATGCACCTATTCTCTGCACAATCAGAATAAAATCTGAATAGAATTTTTAGGAAATTGAGATTCAGGCTAGTAACAAATTTAAAGCCACCTGTTACTAGAGAAGAGCCTGAGCCACAAAGTTGAGATTCAGGTCTGGATAGAGACATAGGTCAGCCATACAGTTCAGATATGAGCACTGTCCAAACATCCTCAGATTTTGTTGTGAGCCCATCTCATTGTGGTTTAAAGGGAGGCAGCAAAAGTAATCCCCAAGGTTGAGTTTTTCAGAGCAGCTCAGGGGATAGAGCCACTCATCTCCCATTACATTTAATCCCCAGGGACAGCTTTTAAAATCTCAGACATCAATCCTCTGTTTCAACCTATTTTTGAAACGTCTTGGCCAAAACTTTCTAACCTGGCAAACTTCAGAAACTAAATTCATATTTAGGCACTATGTGAAGGTCACTGATTTTCAAAGGAGCCGAACATCCATTGACTTCCTGGGAGCTACTCGCAGGTCAGAAGGCAGAATTTGGCCCATTGCAGGGGTTCAAGTTAACTGTGCAATTGCAGTCTTCCTTCAGCCTTACACCTTCTCCCACATTTCTCTCCCCTAGGACTAACGGATCCCTCCCTGAAGCAGGGGAGACACCACAGGAATACCAGGTTGGGGGCAGAATAAAGGGAAGCAAGTAGAACAGAAATCAAAGGGGCAACAATGTATGGGAGGCCCAAGAGGAGAGACAGGCCAGTAGTGGAAGTTGAGAGGTTTAACAGGAGTCACTGCACAGAACAGCAGGAGGGGTGGAAGCAAAGGGGTAGAACAAGAGGATGAGGGGCACAGTGGGAGTCATGAAGTGCTGGGCAAAGGACAGGGAAAGGGACACATGATACACACCAGGGAAGAGGGTCAGCTAAAGCCAGATGGGGGAGAAAGCCCTGTAATTCTCATAGTTGCTCAGTGCTGCAGGACACCAAACCCCTCAGGCACCAGTAGACTGCCAGGTGTACCACGACTCAGGCATGCCCTGAAAGTGCTTCAGCAGCTAGACCTAGGCGAAGTGAAAGGGTATTTTACTAGGGTTGGCAGGAAAAGGGAAGCTGGCGAATACCCTGGGTACAGAGGGTTAACCAGTTACAGTTCAAGATGAGCAATAGCGGTTCTGGTTGGGCCTCCTGCGGCAGCCCAATCAAGAATTAGGGCTCTTCAGACCTATAGCCTGGGGTGCGCTCTCCAATCCAGTCTCTGTTCAAGGAAATGGGAGTTTGTGGATTTCCAGGCCAGAATCGCTTAATGGTGTGTCTCTCCTTGGGGCCCCTTTGCTCTGGCTCCCTGCCCAGCTACCGCTACTCCCTCATGAGGAGGGGGGTCTACCAAATTCGCAGCCATGAAAATTGCATCATGGACCACGAAATCTGGTCTCCAGCCACCCAGCTCTGAAGGCAGAGCAGTGGCTGCTGCCCAGGTGCCCATCTCCGAAGGCAGCACTGCCAGCCAGCAGCAGCAGAAGAGAAGTAAAGGTGGCATGGAATTTAAGTAGACCCCTACAATTCAAGTAGACCTCTACTCATATTCTTCATACAGACTTGCACCCAGCTGTCATGTCCAGCAGCCTGTTCCACATGCAGCCCTGCATGCATTTCCTGGGAGGTCCCTGCAACTGGCTGCTTTCCAGCTTCTGGCTCACCAAGTGACTGCTATTTCCCGAGAGTGCCCAATCACTTTCTGGGTCAGGTCCTTCCTCTTACATGGCCAGGTAAAAGGGAAGTGCAGTGGGAATGTGGCTAATGGGAATCATTTTCCCCTGTCAGAAGTGCCTTGTCATTTCCTGGGCCAGGGTCTTTCCTTCTACCTAGCCAGGGGAAAGAAGATGTTCAGTGGGGAGGGGGCAATGGGGAATTGTAGTTTCCTGCTTAGCGGTTTCACCACAGACCTCCCATCACAAGCCATTATGGGGTTCATAGGTAAACACTATTCTGCTCCAGGAACAAAATATCACCGCTCCAGGTGTCCAAACAAATCCCTTTCCAGTGGATTGAACAGAGACTCCCTAAAATGTCACTGGGTCAGAGGGAAGATAATGAAAAATAAAAGTGAATGCAAACTGCTTCATTTTATGGTAGAGATTGTGTCTGAGTTTCTTCAGTTACTTATCTAATTAATTACTAAGTAGCTACTAACTCGATCTGTAGCTGTGATCCCTACTAAACTTTCTGAATGAGAGAGAGATCTCAGCAAGAGAATGAAACTAAAGACCTGTGTTCTGTTATTTAATATATATCGCCCACACACACACTGTTTAGCACCTCTGATAAAGCCGCTTATTTGAATGAATTAATCCATTTCTCATTAAACATGCTCCTTATTACTTTAATCAAATCAAGCAAGTCACACTGGGTGGTTTGACCACTCTAATTAAACTTTCTGTAAAATCCACTCGTTTCATTTTTGATGAGAATTTTGATTAAATTTCTGTAAACGTCTGGCACCGTGTCTGCTAAAGTTGAGGATAAGTGATTGCTCTTGTGAGTAGCCTGTTAATTTATCATAAGTTTTACTGGCTCTTTTTTGCTTTAACAGCCAGAATGTACAAAAATGTTTGAAAAGTGGCAAACCAAAATTAAACAGTTGTTCTAAGTGTGCAGAAAAAAAATCTGTTTGCAGCTTTAAAATAGGGTAAAACTAACAAATAAGTTCCTAGAA